GAGGGGAGGTGGAAAGTGTTGTAAGCTAAATCCTCATCTGTCAGTCTTAAAAACCATTAATTCATGTCTAAAATTAAGAAACCAAGAAACAGTGGCAGAGAGGTATGGAGGCAACTATCAGAAAAAAACAAAACAGCGGATGTTTCAAGTAGTTCTAGGGAGCTAAACTGGGTCGTAGATGATTTTGATTCTTTGATTTTCACTAAGTCTTTCTACACCACTTGACTTCAGAAACACAAGTATGACTTTAAAGGGGAAAAAAGCTGAAAGGTAAAGGAAAAGACACGTAGTAATTTAATTTAGAACCAAGTTTTGGTTCTATCATTCTTTTCTATATTTTTACCCTATGATCAATGCCTCCCTTGACAGCATTTGCTCCATGCAGTTTGCTTTAAAAAAAAAAAGTTTATGAAGTTAAGCAATAATCCCAATGAAACTTTTCAATTTCTAGATCCTTTCTGGATCTGTTAATGTATATATATGCTTTTACAAAGTTGTAAAGATCCCTCTGGGTCTCAAACCTCCATTCTCCTAGAAAATGACCTCAGCATCCCCCTCTAATGGATGGGACTAAGGTCAGTGAGCACTCTCCTCTAGTGTCCCTTTTCCCCATTTGAAGTCTAGTCATCCATCCTCTGACTTTTCAAAAGACACACCAAGACTAATGTCTTCCCCCATGCTCTTGATTCTGGTTCTCGCCCTCTTGCTTCATCTACATCTTTGGTTTTTCTTCCATACTTTCTGTTTTGCCTATAACTACACTCAAACCTTTCCTACATTTAAAAGCAAAACCAAAAACTGTATCTTCTTTCATGTACCTCAGAATCTCCCAGAAGACCTCATGTTATTGACTCATCCTTAGTGCCTTATCTTTCCTTTTCTATTCCTCTGTCCCATGCCCACACACACCTTCTTTTCCAAAATTGCTCTCTTCAAATGATCAGTGATAACAATTTCCAAATTTACTGGCCTTTTCTCCAGTCCCACTCTTCTCACTGCTCTGCTATACTCCACACTGCAGACTATCTTCCTCTCAAAGTTTTTTGTCTTTGCTTCTGACAATCACAGATTTCCCATGGGAATGTGAATATACTGAAATCAGCTGGCAATACTCTGACAGAATATACCCAGGAGTTACAATACTTGAAACAAGTATAAAGAATAGTTCTTTTAAAGCTTACATAAAAACAACATATGATACATATACACAATGGAATATTATTCAGCTGTAAGAAGAAAACAAATCCTACCATTTGCAACAACATGGATGGAGCTAGAGGGTATGATGCTCAGTGAAATAAGCCAGAGAAAGACAAGTACCAAATGATTTCACTCATCTGTGGAATATAACAACAAAGAAAAAACTGAAGGAACAAAACAGCAGCAGAATCACAGAACCCAAGAATGGACTAACAGTTACCAAAGGGAAAGGGACTGGGGAGGATGGGTGGGAAGGGAGGGATAAGGGGGAAAATGGGGCATTACGATTAGCACACATAATGTAGGGTGGTGGGGACATGGGGAAGGCAGTACATACAGAGAAGACAAGTAGTGATTCTATGGCATCTTACGCTGATGGACAATGACTGTAATGGGGTTTGTGGGGGGGACTTGATAATAGGGTGAGTCTAGTAACCATAATGTTGTTCAAGTAATTGTACATTAATGATATCAAAAAAAAATTACGAAAGGCATTCCCAAGATTCACTAAAGGCAAATGAATAGCTGATTAGTCTGCACCCATGTATGAGGTAAGGAAATATGTCTTTTGTAATGTTTCCATTTTGAATTTTACTCTTTCTTCCTTTCCTGTATACTGTTGTCTCTCTTACTTCTAAACACTTACTCTTCCTTTTGGATACATTCTTCCTGCTAATTTTTAAACCTAGACCTAAAGCATGTTCTTTGCTTAATCTTCAAGAATTAGAAGAATAAACAAAGATTTAAAGAATGTTGACTTAGTGAACTGCTTAGATATGACCTCAGGGCTTTGTACCCATTTCAATAATTTAACACAGGAGCTGAAACAATTCTCTAATTCTGTATGCAAATAGTGTTGAATATTTGAAGAAAGCATTGTAACATCCAACACTATTTTTACAAATTTCTAAATATTTTTTTTTGTATAAAATGTCTCTGGTTAAAGCTTCAATAAAATTACTGTCTTAGAATATGCAAACAAGTAAAAAGCTAACCTTTTCAAACAATATGGCTTCTCTCTCACTTACCAACTTTACATTTCCCTGTATGGTCCTGGAAGATGACTGGTTAGCCAGAGACGGGTAAGATTCCTCAAGGGAGGAACAACCTAAGACAGGCACAGTCGCAGGGGGGCCATCAGGTGAGAAATTGGGGATCAACAGAGGTGAGGCTTAGAACCTCACCCCCCCTGTTCTGAGAGAAATCTTCTGCATCTGTGGATGTTTTATTGCCCTTATCTAGCTTGGATTAACACAGTCTACAGGCACACACCTGATCATCTACATTTGCTCTCTTACAACACTAAACTATGTTTTCTACCTTAATCTTGCATCTACCTACCACTTCAGCATTTTATTAAAAATAATAATAAAGGGAGAAATGTGGGATCCACATATAAATCAAGTATAAAAATCAAACGAATATTCATATTTGACCTGATTGTTTATAGCTCATAATGCGTGATCAAAACCAAAAGTTTGTGATGACTGCCCTTGTGCTGTTCACCATGTAACTTATTCACTATGTAAGAATTTGTTCTCCATGTAAGAACTTGTTCGTTATGCTTCAGAAGATTGAAGACTGACGAAAATTAGGCTTGGGTGGATCAATGATTGTTCATTGAGCATTGACTCCCCTATACAGAATTTTACTGTTGTTAACAACCATTTGATCAATAAATATGAGATGCCCTCTCAAAAAAGAAAAAAAAATTACTGTCTTAGAAATAAAAGTAAATCATTTTTCCTTACCACAGCAGTGATACAGGAATTAGATTCCACTTTCTTGAAAATATTAAAAAATAATACATACATCTCACTAATATTCTTTGAATAAAATTAGATATCTTCAAAATTATACAAAAATTACTTTAGAGCAATTACATTTTTCAACAAATATTTAAAATGTTTGTTTTGTATAAATAAACTTGAAAGTTTCCACAAAAAAAACCCACAACATATGAGAAAATAAACTTGGAAGGAATATAACATATGACCATCTTAAATTATCCCAGCTGGCAACATTTGAGCCACAGACCTAACTCATATCCAAGTATTCAAGACAGATGTCTTAAAATAAGTAGTAATTGTGTGCCAATTAAAAGAAACAACACAGAGATTTTAGTATTTCTTTTAGCAGGTATATTCATAGTAATTGGGCTTCTCATAATATTGATACTAAAGTGGTTCGGAATTAAGGAAGATTATGAAAGGTTTGTGTTCTGTAACTTACAAGCATGGCCTGGTAGAAAGCTGCCTGCTGGTCAGCCTGTGATCTTCAACCTCAAATCAAAAGATGGCTGCTCTACAGTGATCACTTCTTAAGTAAATCAAACAATTGTCAACTTACATTTATAGTCATTAGAAGTATTAGCTTGTATAGATGCAGAAAAGTGAGACTACAGTACACTAATCAGCCTAAGTTACTGGTAATAGGGGCAGTAAAGAGCACCAGAAATCAGAAGCAAAATGCTTGCAAGGTTAAAATACAAGCAAGAACAGAGAGGCAGTGAACACCTAATTTTGCCATGGAAAATAAGGTGTACCAAATTCAGTGAGGTGAGGTTTATGACAGCAAAGCTCTTTTGACATTTCCTCAGGAATCCAGAGCACAAAGGCCTACTTCAATGAATGAAAGGGGAGATACAGCTATGACCGGTAATCATGCATTGTCTCATTGTCCTTAACCTGGTTTCCCACTTATTTCCAACTCAGTATTCCATTTCACTGTATTCATTCAACAAGCATTTCAATATGTCTAAGTTGTTTCTAGGTGTTGGGAAACAATGAATTAGATCTTCCTCTAAAGTTCAAAATTGAGCTGAAATCAAAATGAAAAAAGCCAGCCAGGCTATGATACACAGTGTTTGAGAGAAACCTGTTGAACAAGGACAGAAAGGAGCTTACAACGTTTTAAGAGATTATATGGAAGTGCGGTGATGCTGGGCGACAGGTAGGGGCACAGCATGGATAAGGGAGCAGGAGTGGAAAGTGATGTGTTAGGAACCATAGTTATCCTGGCAAGAAATATCAGTGGCTTAGGGTATGGTGGCAACAGTGGGAAGAAATCAACAAACTCAGCATGTCAGTGGACGTGGATAATGGCCTTGAATGAATCAAGGATGACTCCAAGGTTTGTTTGAGTACCTGAGAGGATAAATGCTAAGGTGGTATTATTTTCTGAGTTGAAGGCTGGAGGAAAGGACACTGTTGGGAAGAAAAACCAAGATTTTCTTCATATGCCATGGCATGTTCTCCCACCAAACTTTCTTAGACAGGTTCACATTTTCCCAACTCATTACTTATGTGAAAATAACATTCCCTCTATTTAAAATGCTCTTTGTTCCTCCCTATTCCCCCACCCAAGCCTATAGCAACCCATCTCTCAAACTGCCTCTGAAACTTCCCTAATCCACCACTCATCCCATTTATCCTCTAAATTGATTGACCCATTCCTCCAGATTTCCTGAAACTTTGTTTCTACCTTTCTTAAGGGAGAATAATACTTTCTAGTTTGCATTAAATTCCTAGCAATGTAAGCTCCTTGCCTTAACCGCCTATTCCAACAGTATTGTACCAGTGTTTTAGACTGAGATAGAGAAGACTCACAATCTGCAAACATTTAATGTTAATCACAAAGCCTTTACAAACACTGCTAGGATCTCAAAGAACATTTAAAACAAAATTTAAGGCTATTAGAGTCATTCTTTTGCATATAGTAGGCAGCTGAAATCTAAAGGGATCAACTTAAAATCTGAAAAACAATCTTTAACACTTAAATGAGACAAAAACTACAAACTGTCAATATAAATTAAGTGATCAATTTATTTTTTAAATATATTTTACAAGTGTAATTTTGGAGGGGCTTTTTGACAAATTTCAGCATTAACTGCCAACACACTAGACATGTTCAACAAAAAAGGCATTTACTCTTCGCCCTTCAATACGGGCAAAGTGTCCTATTGCATCACAAATGATGGAGATGCAGTAACAGATTTAAGGGCATATTAAAGGAATTAGATATTTTAACTGCTGTTTAGTTGATAACAAAATACAAATATACATTAATGGTTATCATGACCACCTGTGATTTGCAGAATAAAACCCACAGGCCTACCTACTTATTTAAAGGCTGAAACTAGTAAAACAGCATTAAAATCCGTTATTTTTATCCTTAGATTAACAATCCCAGAATGAAGTTTCTTTGATCTCAATTTTACAAAGTGCAGTGGGGAGTCAGGAGAAGGGATGTAGAGGAAGACTGGCAGTGCACGCTGAGTTGCAGAGTTGGGACAGCGGTTCAAGTTAGTCATTAACCGGATTAGGGTAGTTACAGGAAATTAAAAATGTGTCCTTAATCCTGGTATACTGGAAAGGATATTAAGGATGGAAAATTCATCAGATCTAAACTCCATTTAATGAATGCCGTCAGGGGCTTAAGAAATAAGAAGGGATGTGCAGGGTGGTGGTAGTATAAAGTAAAATGAGGTGAAAAAGAAAATTGAAAAGTAGGTGAAATGAGTTTGAACGTTGGGGATCGTGAAAGGACCACCAGAGAAACTTCTTTAGTTGCCACTGAGATGTGCTCTTCTGATAGGCTACCTGCCCTTGGATCACCACTAAATTTAGAGCACAATTTAAGGAGAGATTACACTTCAGCTTTGATAAAACTTCACTAATTTGAAATAAGAAAGAAAACATGTCTGATTTAGTAAAACATATCAATAAATATTCAGAGATATAGTTTTATTGTATCAAGTAAAAAGTTAGCAACTAATTCCAAATGCTGAAGTAATAACAAGTAGAGAGGCCTTACTGGGCCCTCCTTCATGAATAGTTAAGACTTATTTTCAGGTCAGCAGCACATGAGTATTGAATAATTTGAAAACAGAATGAAACATGCTCCTTCCAGTTCCTCAAAATATTCCAACAATCCTTACTATCCCAACATGCCAAGAACTATAACTGTTTTGGTCAGATGTAGCCTTTAAAATGAAATGTTTCTCAAAACTGTACTGTCAGAGTAGGAACTACTGTAGGGCACAAAACAGGTCATTTATTTCAGAGTTTACCCAATTTTCATTATTTCTTTTACTCCAACATTCATTTATAATAAACAGGACAATGATTAAAATTAGTCATTTCTCAAACCACAACTCTGAAATACTAGAAACAGACAAGCTCTTCTAGTTAAAATCCTCATTCTAGCAATGCTGAAACAGTCTGCAAATGTCTTCAATAAATGGAGCTTTGAGACAGAACAAAAAATAGAAAAATTTAAAACCTTTCTATACCAAGCATCAATAATGGAAGCTAAACAATTACACCTACAAATCCTTAATGACAGGTCTTTCCTAATGGAAAATCCTGAGATTTTAAGCAATGTGACTTTATAGAAGGCAGGTTGGCTTAATGAGGAAATTGACTTTTAATAAAAAGACAATCAACAATATTTTGGACACTTACTGTTTCACAGATCCTCAACAAGTTTTGAGGTAGGTTAAATATTAGCATTGTATGTTATAAACTACAATTCAGAAGTTACATCACTTGTTGCAAACTACAGCAGGAGTCCTATCATGGTGAAGAGTAACACGGTCTCTGCGATCTTTCAGATTAATCTTCACTGACGTGTGAATTTAACCATAATAGCTGGCATATATTCATTAAAAAAAAGACTAGATATTAATGAAACTCTACTGTGGGGTATTTTAAAATTCTTAAATTGATCCTACAATGATTATACATATTATGGAATAATTTACTTGCTGCCATTACAAATATACTCATATATAATAGATCCTTAAAAACAAATTAGCACATTACTGATTTTGTTGCTTTTCTGCCTTTTGGTTTGGGTGGAGCAGAAATAATCAGCAAGCTTTCCTCAGAGCACTAGGCAGTATCCTTAAGAGTGGTTACTCTGCTCAAGATTATCACTTAATGATGATTTGGGATCATAGGAAAGCAGCTACAAAATGCGGCCAAGACCCAGAAGATGCCTGGATCCAAAAGAGGGGAGGCCCTGTGTAAGTCAAAGACGAAGGGAAAAATGCTCTCATCTCAGGCTACGGATCCTCATTTCCATGCTTCAGCACTACAACTACAGGAAGAGCTCCTAAGAGCAGTAAATTTGTTCCAGTAAATCTGTTAATTAAAGTTCTTATAAACTAGATAAACCATAAGTAAAATCAAATTGTTATTTTATTAAAGTGACATGTATAGAAGCAAAATACCTGAATATTTTAGCATGAATATGTTCACCTATCATGTAAATTACTCTGTCACAAGCCTAATTAGCTTAGCTCATTATAATTACTTAAAATTATTTAGCAGAATTCAGCTCATCCTGACATAGGTTCCTAGGTCAGTCTTGCAAGTACTTGTTTCATTATAAATTTCCTTTTATTTAAACAATTGTCAAACATCAGTAATAAGACAGGATTGAGAGTGATTAACAACTGAGAAATTTTAAGGAAAACATTATTATTGTGTCATAAAATACAGCACTCAGCAGAACAAATTTCAAAATTAAGGATAAAGACAACTATGCTACTGAATAGACTGAACAGCACAGCCCAAATAATCTGAGTCAAAGAAGCAAAAGTTAAAGGTCGGCATGGGGCGGCGGCCACAAGAGGAGAGCAAAGATTGTGAACCACTCGCAACTATACAAAAGCCCTAAGGTCATACAGTCTTGTGTAGGAACTCTGTGCTTCTGGATGGCACACCATCTACTTTTTAACATGTGAAATTAATACAGACATTTGTGAGAGGTTGTGCAAAACTACTGTATTTACAAAAGTGGCACAAAAGTGAATTCAACAGTTAATGGACATGCATACTTCATTCACATCTTCAGTAATAACAAAAGGTGCTTGAACACTATAGAACTGAAAAGGAATATTAGCTTCAATGGCAGCTGTTAAGCACTAAAGTCACATACGTTAAACCAGAATGGGCAAATATTGCCCAAGTAAAATTCTATTGTTAAAGCTGAAACACGTTTAAGGCCATTCAAGTTCAAGCACAGAGATACAAATCTTTTGGAGTCCCATCTATTTGTGTTTGAAATATGTGACCTTTTCTCCAACTTACAGTCTTAAACTTCTGTTTTACGAAATCCAAAAGGAAAATACTGAAGAAATCAATACAATAGAGGTTATTATATTAAATAAGGGTAACATACAAAGCTATAATTAAGATGAATTAAAGAAAGCCAAAACATTCAAATTGTAAAACTTGCTTGTTACCCATTGGGACCAGTCCTACACTAGGAGTTATTAAGTAATATATACAAGTATTTTCAAGTAGATTATGTTGCTCTAATGTGTTCTTTTCATCAGTGCACTGTTAAACTAATGAAGAACTCTGCACACGTATATTTCCTTACAACAGCACACACCACCGCTCCCTGCAAAGCCGGCATTCTCCAATGACTTAAGTGAATGAAAGGAAAGAAAAAGGAGAGAAATTACATACTAAGGGGAAATAGTGGGAATTAGAAGATTCATGCAGTTCTGCTCTTTTAGTCAGCCAGCCAACTTGCTAGTAACAAGGGATGGTTTCCGTTGAGGAAGGTCCTGTGGAGTGGGAATGTGGTCACCAGTGACCTCTGTCTTATCTGGGGCTGCAGCAGGAAGTTGCTTGTTCTTCATTTTTGCTTTGGCCATGTTGTAATCCCCAGAATCAAAGTATTTTTGCTATAATGTAAAAAAGAAAGGAAAAAAAAAAAAGAATTCAGACTGGAGTTTAAAAGCTTTCATATACAACTACCCAATTACACTGGGTTAAAATGTAGATGTGACCCTATGCTGTCACCAAGTCGGTCTAAAAAATTTTAAACAAAAACATAAGATGAAGTAGCAAATCTTTCACTTACACAAAAAAACCAGACTGAAATGCTTTCTTACATGATTTTGAAAATCATGTAAGTCACCAACTTACATTTAAGATATGCCACCCATTTTCAATCAACCTCACAGTTATTAAAACTATTATTTATAGTTGCTGGTACTCTATCATCTAGGCTGAACATTTCTGCCAAGATCTAAATCATTCATTTGAATTAGAGCAGTTCACTAAAATAAAAATTAAGGTTAAAACATAAATGTTAGGGTAACAGAACAAATAAGTTCATTGGAAATTATCACTTAAAATGCACATCACTATCCTACACCTCCACTTTTCACTTAAGACACTAAATGAGTACAGTTATCACTTTTTTTAAGCTGAAGTGATAAAGTAACAACCATGCCTTTTGTCACTAAAATAAAATTGTGGTAAGAGCTGAAGATCAACCTTAATATAGTTAATCTACATGAGTTTTCTGTTTCAGAGTAAAACAGATATATTCACCTGGGTTCCAAATTCCATCTATCATGTTTAGCCTGCCTTTACTGAGTGCCTGCTGTACATAAGGCACTGTGTGAATCCTGGAGAGAAATACAAACATGGACAATAGTCAAGTAAGTCAACTATATACTGTTCCAGGTACATAAGGTACTCCAGGTACTCAAAAGTGGGGACCTAATCTCAGACTGATGTAGCCAAGAGAGAATAAACCAGATATGAGATAATGGCCTGGATAAAAGGTGAAAGGGAAAAAATATATAAATATTTTCTTTGAGACTTCAGGAATCCTCATGTGGTAAATGAAATAGCTGGGAATGCAAAGGGACTATTCTTTCATAAGCCAGATCTGCCTAATAAGGCCAAAGGGACTAAAGTTAGAAACTGCTTTTCATGTGTCACTATAAATGTAACACACTGAGCAGTAATAAGGTAACTTGGACCAGGCCCTTCTAAGGCTAGCTGCAGCTTTATTTCTGTATATTTTATAATGAGTGTAGTAAAAAAAAATCTCAGACTTTCTGATGGCACTGTATTATATTAGAGAGCTACTTCTGAAGTTTAGCAGCCTCTAGAGGAGGTAAAAGCAGCTTGACAAATTTTTTACTTAGTCAAAAGCACAACATGAAAAATTTAACACACAGTGCAATTTTTAGGCAGATTTTTCCCAACATGACAAAGTCAGTTTCTAACACCTGTTTTACAGTAAGCAAAAGTTCATCATAAGGGGATATGTAGATTGAGCTACACTGCTTGGGGAAATTTAAATTTATTTAATGTGGCTAGAGACAAAACTAAAATCAATGCTTAATAGTTTTAAATGCTCTAGGGAAAGGAGTGAACTAGATCAATGCTTCTCGTATAGGGACAAATACAGTCTAAGAAGAAAATATTAGTTATCTTTAACAATTTTTAAATTCTGCATTTTTAAGTGAAAATACTTAAAAATAAACAAAACATATTCTGGATCATCTGGATGATAATCTTAACAGCCACCTCCCACCCAAATTTAGGGGACATACTTACCACAATATTTATCATTGCACTGACACTAAGTGATCACTTAACGTGACAATAGTTAACTTCTAATGCAATGTTTTAAAACTGGATCATCAGTTTCCTTGGGACTTCCAATGCCATAAACATGAAAAAACATGGCCAGAGTGTTCCTTGATATCCCTCCTAGGTTGATAGTCTATATGTCACTATGTACATGTCATATAGTTAAAAGCCTAAAACAGGTATCATAATAACATTAACAAGTACACTAAAACAGAAAGGGACTAATGTAAATAACTAATCAACCATTTCAAATGAAAAAACTGTTTAAAGATATTAATAAGGTAACCTGCCAGTTTGCTATTATGACAGAGGAAAACTAAAACCCAGGACCCATGATCCAAATACTAATAAAAAAAATCAAAACTCTTTTAACCTAGTAAGAAATTATATAGTTGAATATGGCTTTATTTCTCTAATATAAAAGTATTCATTCATTGACATTTTGGTATAATACAGAATCATTCAAAGCCTCTCTGCTCAAATTCTGTATCATTATTTCTTGATTCCAGGGGCATTTTCTTATTAACTACTACTTATCTACAGCACCAACTCCAAGAAACAATGTATGTAAATTATGACACCTATAGATACTTAAAAAGTCACAAATAGTTGAAGCTAGAGGGAAGTTATAAAAACAACAGCTCAAATGTTGGAAGAAAGCCTGTTTGCATACACTATGCTGGAGATTAGCAAAGCAGTTTCCTAAACACTAATAATCAGTCAAATCTCAACGGAAATAAGAGTAGTCAGAGAAAATCATATAATTTATTTAATAACTAAAACCATACTTGATAGGACAATTTCAAAATCAGACCTGGTACAACATTCTATGCAGCTAGATTCATTATGAACATGTTTTTCCTTCTGCTTTTCCTATTTATCCTCTCTATGTTATGGTCTTCATATTTAACACTTTTGAATGACCACATACTATTTTACTGACTTATTACAATTTACTTAGTAATTTCTCTGCTGTTGAATAGTAGTACTGCTTCTTATTATACTTAAAGCTACAAAGAATTTCTTCAAATATGAAGACTTTTTCCTTAACACTGAATATACTCATATTAATTAATGAGATTATTCACTTAGAGAATATGAACATTTTTATAAATCTTGACCCACACCCCTTTCCACAGTAAGTAATTTTAAATGCTACAAACAGCAAAGAGCAAATCAGCTACATTCAACTTCAGCCTCAGTAGTGGATATTATTTTGAAATTTTTCTATTTAGGTGTATGCATACTATGCATGATTGTTCTAATTTACATCTCATTGATTAACATTTTTCTCTGTGTTTTATAACAATATCTTTCCTCTGCAAAAATCCTTTATAGAGGGGCACCTTAATGTTTTTCTTGTGTATTTGAAAAATCCCTTATGTATTATAGATAATAACTACCATTTTTATAAGAATTTCCCTACTGAATTACTTTCTCAGGGAGCAGATTTTTCTTTACATTTTTATATTTTTAATATCATTCTTCCTTGTCACCCTATTATTTCAAAGCTGTGAATGTTATTCTTGTATGTAAGATAACAAAGATGTCATTTTATATTTTGCTAGTTTAAAAAATAATTTGCCAAATTAATGTTAAAATATTTTTTTTGGTAGAAAGATTGTGTATCATCTCACATGTGGAATCTAAAAACATCAAGCTCATAGAAATAGAGTAGGTGTTGGTTGTTAGGGGCTGAGGGGAAAGGGAAATGGGGAGATAATGGTTGAAGGGTACAAACTTTCAATTTAAAAAAAAATGAATAAATCCCAGGGATCTAATGTATAACAGTGACTCTAATTAATAAAACTGTATTATATACTTGAAAGTTGCTATTAGTAGGGCTTTATCTCACTGTAACAGTAACAACAAATGGTAATTATGTGAAATAAATAATGTGTTAACTAACTTTACTGTGGTAAGCATTTCTCAGTTTATATGTGTATCACATCATTGCATTGTACACCTTCAATGATGTTCTATGTCAATTATATCTCAAAAAAACTGGAAAAACTATTATTTTGCAATTTGTGAAAATAACCCATATGTAACTATAGCCTATACACACACAAACACACAAATATAAACTGACATATTTTTGTAAGCAAGCAGCAGATACCGGTATATTTAAGGCATTTTTTTTAAGAGAAACATGATTTGGCTTCTGATTCAATTAGTAATTCTCATCCACAAATAATACTTCTCTTTCCCTGTTTCCTATACGGTAAATAATTTAAATGTGCTTAAACTAAAGATAGAGCTCTTTAATTTTTTATAAGCAAAGGAAGGAGTTAGAAAAGAAAACCAAAGAGCAAACACATAGCATTATTTCAATGCAGATCTCATTATTGAGAAATAAAGGTTTCTACCTTATGAATTATTGTAAGATTAAAACAAAAATGTTTTCAGTAATTAGAACTGCTAAAATTACAATGTATAAATTATATTAGAGTAGCTATGTGAAATGTATATGTAAAGGAGATAGTTAAGCTATGCTTTATAAGTGATCATTTCATCCAAATAAAAAGTATTTTAAGCCTTTGTGTGGAAATCACCTTTAAAACAATTAAAAAAATATAAGGATAAATGCCAACTCCTAGACAGTGGTTGCTTTTGGAGAGAAGGGGAATGGGGATATAAACACATATACGGTAGGTTTCAACTACAGAACATTTTCGTACAAAGAAAAAATTGAAGTAAGCATGGCAAAATAATAACATTGACTCTGGATGGTGGGTACATGAGTCCTGTTGTATTATTACCTGCACCTTCCTACATGCTTGAAATACTTTATAGTTAAATTTGATAAAGAACTGTAGATTCTTATCACACATATGTATAGAATAAACAGTATAAAATAATGGAAAAAATCTCTCTCTTTGGTAAGGTACCTATTTCACAATTTCTATTTCTATAACAGTATACATGTTATATACTGTCATTTATACATGAGCTTATAGGGTTTAAGCATTTGAAGATTATGCTTGAGAACTTACCCCTTTCTGCAATCGTTTCCTTAAGAAATCCGAACCTCCAGGCTTTTGCCCCAGATGAGGATACCTTGCTTTTAATTTTGCTTCTTCAGCTTTCTCTGGATTAGTCACTTTATCTTCCATTTCCTGAAAAAATTTTAAATAATTAGTTCTCTATTATAATTTAGTTAATTAAAATTATTTACCTTGTAACATCTAGATTCTAAGTTGCTGAATGCCAAATAATGCAGCATCTGACTATGAAATCAAGCACAGAAGCTTTTAAAACACCTCTGTCTTGTTTTTCAAATGATCCATGTGATAGCTCTATTATAGCTGTGATGCATGTGTGACACCCCACACACTGGATAAAAATACCAAGATAGCTCAGCTCTGAAATCTTGCTTGCCATTAGTTTCCAGTCATGTATAATGCATTTATAGTCAGTCACCTTCTTTGGAACTCATCAGCTTTTTGCCTATATTTAGAGAACCATCTTAATACTGAAAATACAATCTTTTTGACCTCCTATTTACCCAAAGTCATGTATGATGGGAAGCTCTGAGATTCTTTAATGGAAATTGAGAGCAGCTTTTTACCAGCACATTTTCCTTGAAAAACTCAATGCAGACAGCCTTATTATTTTTAAGAGAGACATTATCTTTGTCAATCATCCCATCTGTGTATATTATTGCCTAATTTCCCCGATATTTAATGTCAAACACTATTCATGCTAAAGAGCCCATTCTTATTTAAGAAAAACATGTTTCTGATTAGGGACCATCAATATTTTAATTCTGTTTAAATATTAGTCTTTTAATACCAGTCTTGACATAGTCTACTTTCTTACCAAGAACCATATTATATAGGGAAGCAGTATTTATCACTTTACGGCAAGTACTGCAGAAGAACGAATCGAGAAAAACAGAGCTGCCCGGACAGGGGAGGCTGGGCAACAGCAAGGCATACTTTCTAGCTAATGAACTCATTTCTGCATACCACCTCTGCATATCTCAATGCTTCCAGGTTATTTATGAATAGTCAAAAAGCAGGAATGTTATATATCCGTAAGTGCCAAGCTTACTTGTTCTTGTAGCAAGCAAATCATCTATCAATCCAGGAACTGAAGAAACAACTTCATACAATTTTTATATATATTTTCCTCAAAATTATATGTTATATACTGTCATTTATACATGTTATGTAAAGTGTGTGAAGTATACATATATACTTTATATATATGTAAAGTATATATATATAAATACACCTTATATACTGTCACTATTTCTTTCATCTTAAACTGCTTTCCTGTATGTTGTAACATCTTCTCATTTTTAGTCTTGGAAGGATTTTGAGAATAAAGCTGCTGCTGTGAAATTATGCTTTTTCTGTGAGGTTTCTTTTATGTGTGTTTATATTCCTTTCTGCTTCAGGTATTTGGCCTTCCTCTTTTATGACGCAGTTTCATGAATCTATTTTCATTTTTAGTCTCTTTACAGGAGTCACATCTTCACTCACTTGATACATACAAAATTCAACTGTGTGTGCTCAGCCAGAGATATATTCTAAATAGTATCAGTGATTCTGTCAATCATTCCGTTCAAGTGAGGTATGTTCCAGAGAGGACTCAAGTTGAGGTATGTGATGCAAATCTGCCATTCCCATGACGGTCTCAGTCCCTGGTTATCTTTTAGAGTGTAAGCACATCATTGCACTGTTTACCACTCGAGTGTTTAATAAACTCAGCCCCTACAATACAAGTCTACTGCCTCAGCAAGCAATTAACTGAAGTCCTGTCATCCGTTCAAACACTAGACAAAATAGTGACCATTTGACCTATTGAGAACTGATGGAGTGGTCAGTCTCCAAAATGATCATGACTCCAGAGATCTGTCAAGGGTAATTTTAGCTATATGTTTTTTGTCTTACTAACTTCGGGACCTAACCCCCATGTAAGATATAACTATACTGTACCTCATCACAATAATTGGAGAAATAATATAAATTTAAGGTTACAAGTTTAGTGTAGAAAGGTGGGCTGGGTCACTGCAGTTTCTTCTGTGTGAAGGCTCTGCCTTCACTGCAGGCATCTACTATAGCTCCAAGATATACACAGTGCTGCAATTTAGATGTGGAACTGGGAAGAGGGGCCTACTCTTGGGTTGTCCTGTATAGTTGTTTAATAAATTGATTATTAAATTTGGAAGTTGATTGAAAAGGACTCCAACCTGATTACAGCCTTTCAGTCCCAGCGCCTTCAAATTAAAAGGCTTATAGGAGTCCTGTATTTCTTTCTTGGCCTGGGATATAAGGGCTCTCTACTTCCTTTGATTTGAATGCTCACCTCTCTGTATCTAAGACAGATTCCTTAAAATTTCTGGTATTTGGGTAGCAACTTTCCCCGGTTTCCAGTGTTTCTACAGGGGTCCCCTATTATAGACAAGGAGGAGAAAGTTGTGTACAATATGCCATTTTATCTGGTATTCCCTTATTTTCTTAATAAGGAATATTTATATGTATTTTTACATATAGTATTAAGCATGTTCAATTAAACTGAAATCTTTTATTACAGAAAAACATTTTGGGCAAAATAACACCTACAGCTGAAAATATCATATAGGTTTAGAATAGATTTATAATGTATCCTAGAAAACAAACCAATTCTTGAACTTTCTTACCAAATACATGGCACAATGGCAAGTCGCTGCTAGCTCCAACTTCACAGCTAGATTCAGAATTTCAGCTGCACTTAACACCAAAGGGGGTAAAAATATGACCAAAACTACATTTTTCAGACATATCAAATACCACAAAGACATCTACAATACTTTCCACAGATCATACAGAAACGTTCTTAACCTTCTGCAGATGTAGACAGTTCCAGGACCTTACTGATAAGCAAGTTCAAATGCTGGACATTCAACTGTGTTCTAACATAACTACTAATTTGGGAAGTACAATAAGACGTCAGGTGGTGCGTCCACTAGCATTCAGCCCACAGTCATCCTTCTCAAACCACCCTCCTGAATCACTACAGTTAGAAGCCTGAAATTACATTTCCCAGACTTAATTCCTATTAGGTTCTACCAATGGCACTTACTCCAGATTAAAAAGCACGGGAGACAGAATCCATTCTGCTCTTGGTGACTCCACCAGCAATGTGCAGACAGCAGTAGCCCTGTGAGCTCCTACGGGGGTCAGGGGTGGGGGTTCTGCACAGATAATCAGGGGTTATTGTAGCTTCAGATGACAGTGGGGGCAGAGGATCCTGTGCTCATGCTTCACCCTTTCTAATAATCTGTCATCTAAGTCCCTAAATCATATCCCTTTATGCTTGAAACACCCATAATGGTTTCTAATCTCCAGACAGATCACTAGCTGATAGGTAAAACAAACAGTTTATCCCTATATTCTGGTAAAAGATACAAAAGGGAAAATAGAATTTGATGTGATTATATGGTTTTGGACATCCTTCAAAGGGATTCCTAAACATTTACTTCAGCTAGACTGAAAATCTCCACAAAGGTTTGAGATACAGAAAGAAACAGCAAATGAAGAAATTGGTAAATGTGAATGTATACTGACACACTTTTCTAATTTAATGTCTTAATATGTGAGGTTAAAAATGGACAGAACAAAAATACTATATAAAGTTACAGTATTTTTACATAATTGAAATATTCTATGGTCCTATATTGTTTAGAAAAGAGTTTATGATTTTAATTTCACATTTTGTTTAGCTAAGGATGCATGATAAAATTTCCAGGGGAACCAATTAAATAACAGGAATAAAGTATATAACTTCTAAGCCAACAGTGGGGATAAAATGGAAGAAAAAAAGAAAATCAACTGAAAAAAAAAAGGGCAGGAAGAAAAGAGAAAGACTAAAAAAAGCATGATTAGAGATACAAAGGCTCTAAATATTCATGCCTCTAATAAAAACCCCCAAAATACGTGGACAGAAGCACAGGGAACTTCCAATTGACAAGTCCATCAGCAAAGGAGACTTTAACACAGCTTCCTCAAAAGGTGAGCCAGACAAAGTAGTCAGGATACCTGCATCCAACAATTAAGAAATACATATTCTTCCCAAGCATAAGTGGAAAAACTGACTAACTACTAGGCCATAAGTACTAAGCAATATAAGCAATATTAAGTGCCAATCAAGTCTTAACCATTTTGATCCAGATCACCCACCTATGACTGCAATTCATAAGATTAAAAGTCAGTAATAAAACAATTTATACATCTCTACTATTTGGAAACTAAAATGCATTATTAAATAATTCATAGTTAAAAAGCATCAGGAATAAAAAGAAAATATGCTCAACTCACTGATAATACAAAGTCTACACATAACAAACTTGTGGGATACAAGTGTCCCTTAAAGGCTTATTTTAGAGAAGAAAACTAAAATTCAATGACCTATGCATCCAACTTCAGAAGTTAGAGAAAAAATGGAACTCAAAGAGAACAGGGGAAAATAAAAACCAACAATTAATGTAACAGAAAACAAAGATACAATAAAGAGGATCAACAAAAGGAGGGAAATTACAAACCAAACCAAGAAGTTTTTTTTTTAATTCAAATGTGGTTTCAAAATTTTACTCTCCAAGAAACCTATGTGTTAAACAGCAATTTTACTACTTTTTATAAATAGATGCTAGAATGTAAGTGGAATCATTTAGCTATGTGGTTTCTATGCTGATTAATACCTTTATGGGGGAGGGGAGAAGCATTATTAGAATTCCAGAACATTTACCATAGGCTACAGACTGGGAAAGCAGAAACCCAGGATTATCATAAGAGACAGATGCTTATGATATTAAAAACAACAACAACAACACTGTTTTAAATGATACCTACCTCTTCACAAGAACATATGCCCTAATATAATCTTCACTGTATACTCTATACCTAGCACAGGGCCTAATTTTATTAGTTAGGTACTTGCATTTTTGTGAATTAGTCTACTGAAATACATCAGACATACTTTCTGTAAGCAGGTGGGGTATAAGATATAAAAACATACATGTAAAAAGGACATTCAAATAATTAAAGATTATTTTGTAGTATATCATGGACTATTAAAACATCTGAATGATTGATATCACTTTTCAGCATTAAGCACAGAAGTTACACAGCTCTATTAGCAATAAAAATCTGACCACTCTTAAGCAAAGACTTGCTGAGCAGTATGTTCATTGATGCAATGACTGATGAATAAGTTGAGAAGATTAATAAAAGCCAACAAATCCTTTGGGATATTGCCAGGAAGGTACCAATACTGTTACAAACCTCTATAGAAAAATACTGTAGTCCTATTAAGTGCTTGCTGCTTGCCTAGTGCCTGATATTTAATGGGTGTCCAACAAGTCAACTGAATAAACAAACTGTGTACTCCCAACTGTTTCAGTAAAGCTCAGAAATTTTCTCAATACCTGATAGTTTCAACATCAGCTTATATTTGAAATATTTCATGTTAACAGTACACACAGTTTCAGGAATTGAAGTTGGTAAGTATTAAAGTCTTGAACAGAGACAAGCCTAAAACATTGTTGTATAGCAAACTAAGATAGCAAAGAGAGACATTTCAAAACTCTTCTGAGGTTTATCTCTAGATTGCTAAGAAACAATGGCCACACACAAACCAAACCAGCAGGTTGTGCTTTGAACTGAAAACACTCTTGAGCCTTTCAGTTACTAAAGGTAGTGTGAAAACAGCCCCAGGAAATGCCAATATTAACTGCAATTAAAAAAAAAAAAGGCAAAATGGGAAAGCAATTTATATTCACACTTTAACGATGATATACGGAAGTAATAGTTCTCTTCCTCTTCCACCACTCACAAAGGCACCAAACGTATATTGTAAACAGACAAAAATATTTAAATTGAGAGCTCTACTTGAGTTAGCCTCTTCGAAGACAACATCTAACTTGATGACTCTTATAACAGAAACTCTAGGAAACCTACTGAGATCTTTGGATAAAAATATTTTTAAGCCACAATCTATATGAAAATATATATACACAAATCCCTCTACCTTCATTCATATTTCTTAAGCAAATCTCTAAGCTAAGGTTTTATATGACCATGGTCTAGCCTTCTCTTTTTTAAACTGCAGTACCAGCACTGTCATTTGTATTGGATTAGTACTTTGGCGATGACTTCAACTAGAAATTTCAGAGAAAAATTCATTCAAGAAGTATTTTCTGAACAATGTTAGATATTCTGCTAGGTGCTATGGGGAAAAGATATATAAAGGAGGGTCCCTGAGTTTAAGATGATCACAATGAAAACAGGGTTTCTTCTGAAGACTCCACATACCTCTTCTCACCTGTAGGACAACAACACACAGGTCCGAACACAGGACTAAGATTGTTGTAGCTTAGTGTTATTCAAAATGGATTCACACACGATAGATCCATGAGGTCTCTGCTAAAAATTTTCTTAATGTTTTGTCTTCAGTTCAGAGATAAGCCGGAGGAAAAATACAAGCATATTCCAGACCATCTCAATTGTCACCTGGTATCTCAGTAGTGCTATAGGCGCCGTGCAAACTTTCATTTATGACAGACTGAGCAGTACTACTCCAATCATCCAAGATATGGGAAAAGAACAGGGCTGTATTTAAAATGCAAATGACCCTAGAATTAAATGACCACACAGCTTACTCTTAAAAAGGAAAAACTAGTCATCATACGGCCTAGGGGAGAGTTAATTTGCCATACTCAAAAAGTTTCTGCACTTGAACAACTGCTACCATATTCTCAAAACGTTGGAAATTTAGTTTAGGCAAAATAGCATGCCATACTGAATTAACAGTGTAGACTGTTTTTGTTTGCATTCAATTCATTTTAGTTTTAGAGTGGTATGAGTTTATACTTATTTTTATGTTAGTACACATTTAATTAATATAGCAGTAAAAAGTGAGCTATACAATTTATTCTCTTAACAAGAGTGCACATACTACTCAGAGAAACACCGACCTTGCCCTTATTCCATGCAGAGCTCATCTCTTCACCTTCAATTTCACAGGCTAACATACCATACCATAAAACTAAAGGTAGTTTAGCTGAATACTTTGGCTTTAACTGAAAGGTCAGTTGGGTACACAGACAATAATCTTAATTTTTTAGGTCATCTGTCTATTCTTCCGAATAGAAGAAACAGGTGATTTGGCCCACAGGATCACAGAAGTGACTCTGCACATTTTCGTCCTGTTTAGGGATGGTATCCATTCTGCAGGCACTTAACATCTACAGCCAATCCCGAACTCAAGAAGGGACATTATATAACCAACACACTATGGTATTAATGACAGCAGTCCTAAAAGCAAAAGACTTGAATTAAATTTTTAATGTAGACACTCATGAAGAGAAAATATTCAAGATATCCTTAATACTGTTAAGAGACATATTAGGCTGTTCCAAATAAAAGCATTTACACTCTGGAAATCAACATTTCACACTTTGGCAACACAGTAACACATCTCATAAAAGAAAATTACATAGCACACTATCGTATATCAGAAGTCAAAACTGAGGCTGGCTTCAGTATTTAGGACAAGACAGCATAGACGGGTTTGTTATTTTTATGAGTTCCTAAAACCCTAAGCAGTTATGAACACCATGATAAATATTTTACAACATATAAATATTTTTTGGTATCATTAATCTACAATTACATGAGAAACATTATGTTTACTAGACTCTCCCCCACAAACCCCATTAGTCACTGTCCATCAGCATAAGATGCTGTAGAATCACTCTTGTCTTCTCTGTGTTGCAAAGCCCTCCCTGTGCCTCCCCCCACAGTATACATGCTAAACGTAATGCCTCCTTTCTTCCCCTCTCTCCTTATCCCTCCCTTCCCACCCATCCTCCCCAGCCCCTTTCCCTTTGGTAACTGTTAGTCCATTCGTGGGTTCTGTGATTCTGATGCTGTTTTGTTCCTTCAGTTTTTTTCTTTGTTCTTATACTCCACATATGAGTGAAATCATTTGATGCTTGTCTTTCTCCGCCTGGCTTACTTTACTCTAGCTCCATCCATGCTGTTGCAAATGGTAGGATTTGTTTTCCTCTTATGGTTGAATAATATTCCACTGTGTATATGTACCACCTCTTCTTTACCCATTCATCTACTGATGGACACTTAGGTTGCTTCCATTTCTTGGCTATTGTAAATAGTGCTGTGATAAGATAGGGATGCATCTGTCTTCTTCAAACTGGGCTACTGCATTCTTAGGGTAAATTCCTAGGAGTGGAATTTCTGGGTCAAATGGTATTTCTATTTTGAGCTTTTTGAAGAACGTCCAAACTGCTTTCCACAATGGTTGAACTAATTTACATTCCCACCAGCAGTGTAGGAGGGTTCCCCTTTCCCCACATCCTCACCAACATTTGTTGTTTGTCTTTTGGATGGTGGTGATCCTTTAAAACATATAAATTTTAATATTACTGTTAATACTGCAACCCTTAAACTACGTATGTAACATATATGTATTTTTTTTGTCCCAAAGCCCATTATTTCGCCAAATGTGAAAAATACCCAACAGTTTTCACTGGAATATTCTTGAATAATGTGGTAACTTGGCCTATTTATGCTGTTTTTACCTGCAGTTACTTTACAAGTAATATTACAATAGAACCATCCAACTCAGGAAAAGTGGTTTGGAACCACTAATCAAATAAAAAACATGCTTTTGAGCACCAAATTTCCAACCTGATTAGAAGCGTGGCTGCAACATTAAGCAGAAGCCCTTAGATAGCCCGAGCATTAGATGTAGTCCTATTTATGTCAATGCCGCCTGATTTTTTAAGAAAAAGTGTTGTAACTCTCCATAAACAATTTAGGAAACACGATGTCGTAGACCTTTGCAGGCCAGCCACAAGTACCCAGCAGGCAGGGCAGCAGAAATAATCAAGATGGAAAGGATAGCATTACCCTAGATGAAATATAAAGCCTTGATGTTCCGAATTGGAATCATACCGATTGGTAGCGTATTTCCCTATGTTAGGATAAAACCTAAATGTGATTTATTCCCACTAGGATGTTTAAACATTTTTAACAGTAAAGTATGGACAAAGGGCCACATGGTGGAAGCTGCTCGGGCTGAGAGTGGGGGTGGGAGTGGAGGGAATTGGTATGGGTCTGGCAATACCTATTTGAGTTTTTTTTTTTAACCTACCAATAAGATTAAGATAAATGTAAAGCAAAGATATAACTGGCTTAAGCGACGTTTGGGGAAGAATGTGAACCCTGTAGTACTCAGCCAATGAAGAACCAGGGGAGGGACTTGCGCACTAGGAGATAAATTACTGGCGCCAAACTCCCCAGGTGTGCCTGCCCACCAGACACCCGATCTTGTTAGGCCGGCATTAAAGCTTTGCTCGGCTGTTATCTTTGTCTCCGTGTCCACTTACTGAATTTGGACCAGTGAGTGTGTTTCTCACAAGTACAACAGAAAGATACAAGAGAGTTTACAAAATATTCCTGTTTCCACGAAAAACCTGATCAACTAAGTTGGCAAAATTTTTAAATTCCAAACTTTCGATCTAAGCAGGTCCCATATATGTCGAGTACCAGTGGCTCATACTTCTGAGCACACACTAAATACTTTGTTACCACTTCACCTGAGCCTCACAACAACCACTTGAAGCAAGCACTGTCACTATTCTGATTTTACAGATGAGGAGATTGGAGCCTAAAGAGCTAGACAACTGACGAAGGCTACACGGCAAACAAGGACTGGAACTGAAATTCCAACCGAGGTCTAACGGCGCCCAAACGCGAGCTACTGCCTTTGGAGTTAATACAAGTAGTGGGGAGAGTTAGCCCTCCAAAGAAAAAATACAGAACTTCCTAAACAAAGTGAAGCTCACGGAACAACTTCGGTTCCACGCGTAAGGACCGAGTCCCGGGTTCGTAAGGGACTCGGGAAACACGCGACGCCGCGAGGATGTGCGGGCTCGGCGCGCCCCTTCGTACGCGGCTGCAGCGGGCCGCCCGGCGGGCCGGCTCTCCGCGCCGTTCCGGGCCCCGCTGCCCGCTCCCCGCGCACTCACCTGCTGCTCCTCCGCGGAGGCTGCCTCGGGGACGTCCGCGGACATGCTGCTCCCACTGCACAGGAGACTGGGGGAAGAGCTGCGATCGGGTGGCCGCGGCCGCCCGGCTGCCCACCGCCGCAGGGCCGCCCGTCCCCGTCCTCCGCGCGCAGCCCGGGCCGCCCCCGCCCTCGAAAATGGCCACCGCCTTGACACGACGCAGAGCCCCGGCGCGCTGGGCGGGCCCAGACGCAGCCCCGCGCCGCACCCCAGCCGGCTTACCCGGCTGCTCCGGCTGTGCGGCGCTGATGCACTTCCTTTTTTCCTTCAAAGGTCGCGGCCCGCGCCTCGCCTCACATCCGTCTGCCGAATGCTTCCTGGGAATCGTAGTTTCTAACGGGACCCTTTTTCCAGGCCCTTCCCTGCCTATTCTGTTACCTTCTGTTTCTCATCCCCAGAGTCGTTGCATTTTCTTCCTTGCTCTCCGCATTGCAGCCACACGGACTTTCTTTTGGGTGCTCCGAAGCTCTGTGCTGCCTCCCGCCACAAGTTTCTCCCTGCTCTGCTTCACCTGCTTGGACATCTTCATCTTTCACACTGTAATCCTCCATCAATCACTGCCTCAGACTTTTCCAGAGCCCCTGCACGGGTCAGACCCACCTGTGAAAATACTATCTTGTCTCTGTATAGTTACTCAACAGCATACCGTATCATGAGACAGTAATTGAGATTAAAGTCACCTTTCTTACTCAGATGAACCACAATAGAGACCTCTTCTATGTTTGCTTATACTTCCCTCCAAGAGCCCAGCATTGCCTAGATATTCAATAAGTATCTCCAAAGAAATTCAACTTGTCTACTCCCAGGGGTCCACTCCCACAACTCTACTGGCACTGCGGGCACCAAACTCCTTCAATGACTCTTAATTGCCAAATCCATTGGCTTCACATTTAATCCTCATTCTACTTGACATTTGAATAGCTACTGGCAGTACATGGTGGTTCCAATAAAATGCCTATCCAAAACTTGGAGATAAGATTATCCTCTTAGAGTTAAACTAGTAAAAAAGCAAAGATAATGAATGCAATTCTGTGGGAATTCAGTGTGGATAAAGTGAAGGTTCCTGCGCCCAGGATTTTCACCTGGCTCTGGTTGGCTAGCTCACTAAACACGTGTGGACAATAACTCGTTATTGACTGTATATAAAGATCCCAGTGCTCTGGGTGACACAGTGGTATGGCTACAGGCTGCAGGAGAGCAGAGCAGAGGCTGGAGTGGTGGCAGCACCAAGGGCAGAGACTGGGACGGCTGTGCAGGTACAGAGGCCCAGAGGCAGAGACTGGCTTGCTGCATGCAGACTCGCTCTGAGTGGACAGGACCTGCCACCGTGGAAATAAAGTTGGGTATAAACCCTTTCACACCAAGAACATTCTCCTGTCATTTCTTTGGTCACATTGAATCCACAGTGAATTTTTCTGGGGCTGAAACCCATTGGCAAGACATTTGGAAACCATCAAAACTCAACCGGTGTATCTTGAGTATAATCTCAGACAGGAAGGATTGGGCTGGGATTGAGACTTGAAAAAAGAAAAGTGTTATACTGCACTCCTTTTCAAGAAAGAAAGGAAAGGGTTTGACAGGCAAATACATAACATACAAGGGTTCAAAAGGCCAACTCTAACAAGGATATCCTTTGGGAGTGCCTTAAGCTGGACCAGTTGAGAAACTTAAAAAGATCAACTAAGTATTTGTATGCATTCCATACTCACAAAGTAATCCACTGAAAATTTGCCTTCCCATTATGCAAAACTACAGGGAGTAAGAAGAATGCGTTAGGCTACCTGAAGCATCTAATAGTTGTATTTTTATTAACAGTTGGCATTCTGGTATATACCCTATATCAATGTATTTGTGAACTTGGGTTAAAATCTGATAGACACACATATATAGAAAATCAGTATGTGTGATTTTGAATAAAGAGAGTCTGTTCCTGAAAGGCAGTGACAGTTGCATGAGGGCAAGTTTGCATTTTTCAGAGACAGACTTTGGCCAGTGTAGAATTCACAAAGGCCAATACCCCATTTTGAGGACCTAGAAGCCATCCTTCCCCAAGTAATACCCCTCTGTATCATCAACCACGTACCTTAATTTTTAAAACCGCACACTGATCACTGACACCTTGCTTCTCAGAACTTTCTTCCCTTGACCTCTAGGATACCCCCTCTCTTTATTCTCTTCTACTTCTATGGCCAATCCTTGTAAATCTCTTTCGTTGACTCTTCTTTACCTGGCTCTTAATGGGAGATTCTAACAACACAGCCCTTGGATTCACTTCTACTCTAGTACTACACTCTCTGGGAGATCACTTCCACCCTTGTACTTCAGTTGCCATCTCTATATTCTAGATCAGTGCTGTCCAATAGAACTTTCTGTGATGATGGAAATACTCTGTATCTGTGCCATCCAGTGCAGTAGCCACTAGCCACATATGACTATTGAGCCTTTGAATTGTGACTAGCTAGTGCAACCAGGGAACTGAATTTTTAATTTAATTAAATTTAATTAGCCACAGGGATTACAATCACTGAGAAACCCTACTGACATTCTCATTAGGTCTGGAGCAAGGTTCAGGAACTGATGCATACTTATCAAAGCCACCGCTGGTGATTCTGATGCACACATGCACAAAAGCTTTGGCAAGCTTGGAACCTGGTAGGTGTACAAGAGCTTTAAAGACATCCGAGGTTCTTCTGAGGTTTGGATGTCTTAGCCCAAGAGTTTGTAGGAGTAAAGGAGATGAGATAATGTACCACCCCATCCATTCCTCAAATAGCTGAAGAGGAAGTCCACCTGCCTCATTGCTGACAATGTAGCAAATAACAAGGACAGAATTCATTTTTAATGAAAGTAAGAGTTAGGAAGAGATTGGAAGACCAACTTAGGGAAACCAGGTGAGATAAGGAGTACCAAAAACCCTGAAGAAAAATGATGATACCTGTCAGCAAAGCCCAGGGAACATTACCAGAATAAGCAGGTCAATACTGATAAAGAGAGTAGTTTTCAACTTTAGTATTAGAAGTTGAACCTAGAAAGTGGAAGATGCCGCTTCTCTAGGGACTTAGTGAGATGAGAGACCTTTATGTGAACTGGCAAGGTTGGACCAGGAAAATTATGAATGAGTTACAAAGAACAATGAACAGTGGCTCTGGAAAGACTTTAAAAACTTCAAACCTTTCAAATCTCGTATTTGCCAAAATGTCTTTCTAAAGCCTCCCTCACCTGTATTTGCATGCCTCCTGACAGTATACTAAGTTGAATGAAATGGCTACTCAGTTGCTTTAGAACATTCCTTCCTAAAGTCTTTTTATTAATCAAAGTTTTTTCTCTAATAATTAATAGGCATGCCATATCATACATCTCACTCATTGCACAGCAAACTATAAACTTTACTGCTGAGAATACTGATGAAAAGTATATTTTAATGCCAGAACACAACTCTAGTGGGAAAAAAGAATGAAAAATAGAGGCAAAATGCCTGTGTAGAAGAGTGTGAAAAGATAAGCTTTAGCTTGGATTTGATCCTGGCTCTTCTGCTTACTGACAGGGTGACCTTGGGCAACCTCTTCAAGCCTCATTTTCTTTCATTTTTTAATTTTTTAATTAATTTATTTAACATATTTTTTATAATGGTGTCATTAATATACAATCACATGAGGAACACTGAGGTTACTGATTCCCCCCACTATCAAGTCACCACCATATACCCCATTACAGTCACTATCCATCAGTGTAGTGAGATGCTATAGAGTCACTACTTGTCTTCTCTGTGCTATACTGCCTTCCCCATGCTGCCCCTACATTATGTGTGCTAGTCATAATGCCCCTTACTCCCCTTATCTCTCCCTTCCCCCCGACTCTCCCAAGTCTCTTTCCCTTTGGTAACTGTCAGTCCATTCTTGAGTTCTGTGAGTCTGCCGCTGTTTTGTTCCCTTCAGTTTTTTCTTTGTTGTTATACTCCACAGATGAGTGAAATCATTTGATGCTTGTCTTTCTCCACCTGGCTTATTTCACTGAGCATAATACCCTCTAGCTCCATCCATGTTGCTGCAAGTGGTAAGATTTATTTTCTTTTTATGGCTGAATAATATTCCATTGTGTATATGTACCACATCTTCTTTATCCATTCATCTAC